GTCCGGAGTGGGAATCGCTGTGCGGCCGCTGCCCTGAGCTCACGGAGACTGGCCCCTTCCGGCCGCCATGCCAGCACCTGGGGTGGCGCTGGGCTCACTGGCTTCGTCCGCCTCTCATTTTCGGCGATGGTTGTGAGAATGGGGTCCTGTCGTGTCCTTACTCAGACGTAGCCTGGGATCCAGTCTCCCCTCAGCCCATCCCCCTCCCCCGTCCAGACTCTGTTCCCTCCCTCAGCTTCGGGTTTTTTTCTCCCCGAATGTCTGCTCTGAAGCTGCAGCGTCGGTGATGCAGGCGGTGATGGCGCTCCTTCCTGCTGCTGGCCGGCTCCGGGGTCTCGGGCCAAAGGCACGTCTCTGCCACTGGCCCCCCTGCTTCTCTGTAAGGACAGATCCCTGATCTCACTCTGCTCCCGCACCCGCACCCCTCCGTCCCGGCACCAGGGCTGGCGGCATCTCAGAGGCTCATGTACTTGTGGGTGGATGTGCGCAGGTCATGCTGGAGGTGCGGGGAGACCTGAGCTCCTGGGGGCGGCCAGGAAGGTTTTAGAGACGGGGGAGCTTGGGCAGAGGCGTGAAGGATGCGGGGTGGGGGAGGGGGGTCCCCGTGCTGGCCCCGAGCCTGGGCCGGGCTCCACGCCACCGCAGGGGTGGTCGGAGGTCTGCACAGGGCACCAGTCCCCGACGGTTCCCGGCAGGAGCAGGAAGGGGAAGAGTCCCCAGGGCAGGACTGTGTGCCACTCAGACCCCGAGCTCTGCGGTGACCGGGTCCCCGCGTGGCGCAGGTGGCAGGTTGTGTGCCTCCAAGCCCCCCCTGGGAGGCCGGGCATCCCCGGCAGACGCAGCTGCTCTGCTGGGAACCGGGGATCTGGGGTCCGCTCCAGGGACGTGCGGACACCTGGCTTTTCCCGTACGGGGGACCCTGCTCCTCAGTCGGCAGCAGGATGAGCCCCTGGGGCCCCGGGGACGTGCCTTCCACACCTGCAGCTCCGCGCGTGTGTGCAAACACCCCATTGCATCTGATTACAAACCATTAGTGCAATTAGGGCAGCCCCTCCTCGCTCTGGGCGCGCCAGCTGCGAGGGGCCAGGGATGGAATAGCAAACAGCTTCCCGCCCGGCGGCATCTGCGCTGGGGGCTCGGGGACCCAGGAACCCCGGTGCCTGAACTTGGGGCCTGGGCTCGGGCTGTCCCAGGGCGGGGGACTGCGCCCCTGGAGAGAAGTCAGCTGGGCCCACCGGGGCATGGAGACGGGGCATGGCTGCCTCTGGCCCTCACGGGGCGCCTGCTCAGGCTCTGCTGTCCCACCCCCTGTGCGCTGCTCTCTTTCATCGCGGCCTGCAGCCTGCAGCCGCCTTTTAAGCCCCAGCCCTCGGCCGCCTCTGGCCCCGTCGCCCCCTGGAAGCCCGAGTCGGAGAGACCCCACGTGTCATCCCCTGACCTTCCCCGCTGAGCGGGCCCAGCCTGCGGACTTCAAAGGGCGGGAGGAAGGAGAGGCCGCTGGCTGTTCCGGGAGCTGGGAGTGCGCGTGGGGTTCTTCAGGGCCCCTGCCCGCCCCGCCCCGCGGGCACTCCCTGCGCAGCCGCGTCCTGAGCAGCCATTGGGGCTTTCACGACCGTGTGGGCCCAATTCTGAGACCTGCACCCCCAATTTCAACTGCCCTGAAGCTGGGGCGCATCCTCTGGGCGCCGGGGTCCAGTGGC